GTCTGGGCCTCCCTTCTGAAGCTGCTGCCCCCGCGACCCGACACCGGATAGGCGGAAGAAAATGGATGGATGGATGTAAAAACGTGACAGATAATTTGTGAAACAGATCTGGTTCAGCTTGCTGTTTATCTATTAGTTTCTATGGTGGCTGTGAGTTKTTGCCCTTTTTGGACGCCATTTTTGTTCCTCCATACTGTCACAGACGCTACCAGTGGACGATATGGGCGGGGCTCAGTCTAGTGATCTATATTCAAGTCTATGACTAAGGTACAAATAGGTTAGGATGTAGAAATTTGCACAAGTATATAGAGAGTGTATGTGTAGGTGTCTTTAGACTGGTATTCCCTACATTGTGGGGCAGTTCTTTTGGCATACACACCTTTTTGTGTGGACCTAATGTTACTTATGAGGACCTGACTACATAAGGAGACTAGACTCAGGATGGGTCGGAGGTTAAGTTTAGGACTAAGGTGTGAATTGAGTTTAGGTTAGTTTTAGGGTCAGGTGAGGTTAGCCTTAGGGTTGGTGGTCAGGGTAAGGCTGTAGAAAATAATGGAAGTCAATGCCAGGTCCCCATAAAGATAGCTGTACCAGATTGTATTTACTGGTGTGTGTGTGTGTGTCGTGTTTAACACAGATTTGCATCACTGAATCCTATTTCAGCTAAGGAGTCAAACAGTGGCAGAATGCCACTCTGGACCACCTGGGCCTCCCCCCAAGGCAGGGTTTCTCCAGCATGGGAGGGTTATAGGACTGCTGTGTTTTTTAAGCCAGTTTTTCAGCAAAGAGGACGTGGGGGATTAGGGACAAATGAGAATAAATGCACCCATCCACCCACTTGTCTTTTCACCTCAATCTTGCACCAAGATGGAGAAGACGAGGGACCGAACGCACAGCTGTCCCCGGCCGTTATCTGTGATGGATGAAGCCAGAGCGGCGTGCCGCAGCACCCAGTCACTCCAGTGTGTCAGTGTATTAGAGTGCGTGTCTTATTTAACTCAACCGGAGCGACAGAAGAATGACGGAGCGAGAGAATGGGCTGTTGTGCCGGAAATACCCTCACGATGCAAATGAATCTCCTGGCGTTCCAGACAAACAGAACGAGAGGAACAAAAGAGGAAATACGTGCGGGGAGCATTCTGTGTGCTGAATCTTCTGTTGTCTGATTGGGTTTTGAGTGGGTGAGGTCTTATCAGTGCAGCTGTTCCAACCGCCAGGGCCAATTCAGCTTCCTCCGACGGTTCTACCTGCACAAGGTGTGACAGTGAAGCACGTTTTTTTTTCACCAGAAGGAAGTACTTTAGGGCTTAGGAAAATTTCCCAAACTCAACTTCAGTTATTTTCAGTAGCAGTTGATTTAATCTGTTTTGTTGTTACAGTAATGCCGCAAAAATACTTCAAGGCCTGCTGCATGTGTCTTTTTAGACATTTTTGGTTGGATGAAACAGAGTGAGAGAAAATAGAAGAAACTACTGTAAGGTTTAAGATTTTTTTATCATTCATCTTTATTGGACCCTTTTTCTATCATTTGTTTTAGGAGATAAGGCAAAAAAGGCAATTTATTTCATACAATATGATTTCCTTCTAAAAGTTATCATCAATAACTGTACTATAATGAAAGGACCATTATTGTGAAAATTTCCTACAAAACACAACTTTTAAAGATTTTATAGAATGCATAATTTGGGGTTGGGCGATATGGCTGATAAAAGTATCAGGATATGTGTTTCCTGTCAGTAGATATTGATAATTATTGTTTGGTTTTATGTTTTACCTTTTTTAAATAAGGACCAGGGCTGCCAAACTGGTGTCTTGACCTTTCCTCTTTTATCCACAATTTCCTCCCAAACTGTTACACACATTTCCTCTTTTCACTCCACGTCGTTATTTTTTTCAAGCAGTTCTGAGGTGCGGTGGTGAAACATGAAACTGCTACAGCATGTTACTCAAACAGGTTGTTGCTAGCTTACCAAAGACCGAGTTAGTTAATGCCATCAACCTTGCTTAGCTGGGCTTTGGCCATGGAGGGCAATTTTCCAGCTCCAATAACTGTGTTGTCACAATCTCCGGTCCTGGCCCGTGACTTATCCCCTACRTAAATTTCGTAGATTTACGTAAACTTTGTAAGCATCGAGGGGCAAATTTTTTTGAAGCCAGAGGAAGACATTTACGGAATAAATTGCACCCACTCCCAGTCCGTTGGTAATTTTTAGTTCCCTACGTAAATTTCGTAAACGAAATCAACATACGTACATGAAATTATCAATGTTCTGTTGGACRTGTTTTCCATTTATCTTGATCACGTGTCTGTTGCGAAATAAATATTATATTTTTTTATCGCCCAGCCCCTAGTATAATCCAACTCAAAACAATGAACGACTCACATRTAGGCAGCATGTGCCTGTGACTCCCAGTCTACCAATTAAAACAAGTCTGCTTACAACAGRTTGTGGTTCAAGAAACTCACTGAATTACCCTTACTACTAAAGGGATCCATGATTAGTTGCAACATTAGACTTTATTTAATAAACGTATATTTTAACTGTAAAATAAAGACAGTAAAAATACTGTACGATGTTTAGTTTTTATAATATTTAAACTAATTGTTAAATATTTTACACGGACTGGGACATTTTATTTACACGCAAAGCATTCTGGGTAAATGATGACATGGATAGGTCCTCGGTGTGAGGCTGCTAGCGAGCTATATCCACCCTGAAGGTTAATCTTGGACAATATCTGATGATCGACTCTTTTAAATGAAACCAGAGAGCGTTGACAGAGAGGAGAAGGTAGAAATGACTCAGCCTGGAACTGAAAATATGGATGGAGGACAACAGAGCTGCTTCATGGAAGAAGAACCTCAGCTTAGCCTGTTAGCTTTAGCATTAGCCCCAATGCTATCACCATATACATCATATATATATCATTGGCGCTAGCGTCTCTCCACGTCATCATTTACCCAGAATGCTTTGTGTGTAAAGAAAATGGCTCCGTCCGTGTTAAAATATATTTTTAAAAATTTACAAAACTAAACAGCTTACAATATTTTACAGTCTTGATTTTACAGTTAAAATAAATGCTTATCAAATAAAGTCTAATGTTACAACTAATTGTGGGTCTCTAATAAAATCTGCTGTCCGTCTGAATCTAATTTTTCTTCAGTTACCCTTGTCTTTAATCCTGAAAACCTGCTGATGGATGTCCAAAAATGCAATTCGCGGCCAAGGTTCTGCTGATTAGATTAGTGCCCATTGACTCGTATTTGGACAAAGCGCTCGTCTGACTCAACAGCTGTCAAATACAAGGAGCAGTTATAAGCCCCYTATTAAATATGCTAATACAGTTCATCCTCTTAGATAAGTATATTATGTGCGTGAAGAGATATTTGGGCTTTTTGTTCCGATTTTTCTTTGGTAAAAAAAGCCAAACCTATAGTTTAGGTTGTCATCACCGGCAACCAAAAAGAGGAAATGTAGATTTGAAATGTTTTCCCAGCCTAAGAAGTAATTTGCTTTTAGGTTAGGTTTTGGTGCTTATTTAAATTCCAACTAGTGCCTCTGTGTAAATTTGACTGAACCATCAGAGAGAGGTGTCAACATATGCAGACAGGCCTGAAATAAACTGGTCATGGCTCAGAGATCCTTCGCATAAAGCGTTCAAACAAAGGCACACCAKGCTGCACATTAAGGGATAAAAAAATATTAATAAAAAAAATCCAAACCATCCAGTACTCAGCTGGTACTTAACGGTTGTGTTCCCAATGAATCGTATACACAAACACTTGCAAAACAAAAACAAAAAAAAGGAGAACTGTCTTTTCTGTTCAAAATGAACTGTGACACTTCAGTAGCGGTTGCTTTGTGTTGCACAAATCTATGATCTATTGTTTGAACTTGGTTTCGCAGGTCCCAGATATGCCACCTACTGACCTCGCTGTCACTCCCTTCTCCTCGTGTTGCGCGGATGAATGCTGGTCCAACTGATAATGATGAGGTGGGTATTGAAGGACGGAGTCACCCTGCCGTTTCTCTCCTCCTGCAATTCATTAACCCGATTTCTGCTGAGCTCTGTCCCACATGTGTCAGAGAGGGACGTGTGGAGGAGTCTGCTCCAAACGGCTCGGTCCGCAAAAACACTCCATTGTAACACCTCCCCAATCTGGCAACGAATGGTTCCCCTCAATGTGTCGATAATTACTTTATATCTTTTTACCGTCTTTAGAGAATTGTCTTGTTATTCTGTAGAAAAGCAATTGCAATTTAAAGCACAGCACTCCTGTCACTTTGGCTGACTTTAAATGGAAAATTATCTGATGAATACTCAATTTTAATCATTTACTGATCTTTATCAACCGTTCTTTTGCATCCAGTATTTTCTGTTCCACTGCATGCCACTCAAACAGAAAGCACAATATGTCCCTCTGAAACAACTGATAAAACTTTTAACAGTTTTTTTTCTAAGGAGTTTAGAGACTATASTCTCTCCGAAGAAGCAGTTTATGAAATAACTCATCCAGATGTTGCAGATTTCAGAAGACTCGTGATGATTAGGTCACGAGAGACCTGATTTTTCTTCATTGCAATGTTGCACCATCTCTCCTGCRTCTGTGAAATCTTCAAACACAACAGGGTTGTAGTTTCTGTTCAGCAAATTTGTTCATGAAATAATTTCTTTGCTAATCTTGATATTTAAAGCTACCTTTATTTGTTATTTTATGCAATAGTTTTAATGCAGCAAGCTGTTTCATTGATTTAGATTCAGAAAATTCTAAATAATTTACTGTAAGTGAGTTTTGCTCTATGAATTTTGCTGTGGCCCTGCCTGGTTCTGGTCCCGGTCTGGTGTCTGAATGATCTGCTCGGTCCTGAGAAAACGCTGCCACTTTTCTGTTTGCCTTCARTCAGTTTAATCTCTTGTAGTTTTGCCTCAGTGTGGGTCAGTTTTGCGGTTGGCCTTTAATCCAGTCCTGTGCCGCCACATGCGCAGAAAGGTTTAGTTCAGTCTAATTTGGTTTACAGAACAGCAGTGTTCATCTGAGCAGAAAACCATTTGTTATTGGTTTCCTCTGGAGGAGGGATCATGAATCAGTCTCAGTCCAGATTTACAAACACAGAAGCGCCTCAATGATTAGCGCAAATAAACACATACAGAACAGCATGAGACGACRCACACGCACGCACACTGAATGTGATGAAAAAATAAGAGGTTATTTATAACAGCCACATTCAAAAACTAATGCTTAAAAACACTTTCTCTAAAAAAATGACATAAATCTAATACAGTTTATAATCATATTTATCTGTTATTTATTATTTGTCCTTCCATCAATTCATCCATAAATTGGTTGGTCCATCCATCCATCCATCCATCCATCCATCCATCCATCCATCCATCCATCCATCCATCCATCCATCCATCCATCGTTATATGGTCCAAAATTAAACTGCTAAAATTAATAGAAAAATCCAGCAGGAATCAGATTTATTCTGTCTGCTTAACTGTGTAAAGGGATCCCTGATTAGTTGTAACATTAGACTTTATTTCATAAACATATATTTTAACTGTAAAATAAAGACTGTAAAAATACTGTACGATGTTCAGTTTTTATCATTTTTTTAAACTAAAAGTTAAAAAATATATTTTAATACGGACAGRGCCATTTTATTTACACGCAAAGCATTCTGGGTAAATGATGACGTGGATAGGTCCTCGGTGCGAGGCTGCTAGCGAGCTATATCCACCCTGAAGGTTAATCTTGGACAAAATCTGATGATAGACTCTTTTAAATGAAACCAGAGAGCGTTGACAGAGAGGAGAAGGTAGAAATGACTCAGCCTGGAACTGAAAATATGGATGGAGGACAACAGAGCTGCTTCATGGAAGAAGAACCTCAGCTTAGCCTGTTAGCTTTAGCATTAGCCCCAATGCTATCACCATATACATCATATATATATCATTGGCGCTAGCGTCTCTCCACGTCATCATTTACCCAGAATGCTTTGTGTGTAAAGAAAATGGCTCCGTCCGTGTTAAAATATATTTTTAAAAATTTACAAAACTAAACAGCTTACAATATTTTACAGTCTTGATTTTACAGTTAAAATAAATGTTTATCAAATAAAGTCTAATGTTACAACTAGTATCACCAGAACTGACTGGCATCAGAGACACAAGCATAATTTAACGTTTCCGTGTTACATTTACCACGATTTAGAAACTGATAAGATCCACTTTTTATAATTTAATGCTACCCATTAATAATTTATTTATATTAATGACTTCATTTTGTGGTTTTCTGAAACCATTTATTTCGCCATGTTTGTTTTTTTCCCCCTTCACTTCTACTGTAAAGCACTTCATGGCTTCTGTTTTGAAAAGTGTTTCACAAATTACCCTCTGACAGATAAGTGCCTCTGAACTTTAGTTGTGTAACATTGAGTTTGGTAGCTGTTGATACTCAGACATAATCCTGGAAACGAACAGCCTAATATATTTATGTACTGTCAGCAGTGTGGCAGCTGACTGCAGGTCGGGGCTGGTTCAGAACGAACTCGAGGCTTTCACAGTTGGAATATCATGTCGTACAGAGACGGGACTCCGGCTTTTGGCACATCGGAGTCATTGTCAGGGCCTTTCATGACTCCTAAAAGGCAAGGAGTGCTCGAAATTGTTTTAATTACTGCTGCAGGGAGGCTTTTCCTCCTTATTTCTTCCCGCTATTTCCCCTTTTTTTTCTCTTTCCACCCTCTGTCTTGGTCATTGCCTTTCTTCCTTATTTTTTCTTCATCAGATTTTGCTTTCTTTTTCTGGATGCTGTGTTCTGTGGCCAAGGCTGTTTCTTCCATAGAACACACTCTTGAAAGGCTATTCATGGATTTTTCAATAAACCCCTATTACATTTGCGTGCATGTGTGTGTGTGTGTGTGAGTGTGAGGGAGGGAGAGACAAAGAAAGAAAAATAAAGAGAGGCAAAGGTATTACGGAGGCTGTGCTACAGTACCATCTGTATGCAAATGTCCTCAGACTTTGGTAAACTTTGATCAAACGCTCAGGCCTTCTTTTCTCTCCCCTGCGCTCCCTCCCTCCCTCCCTCCCTCCCTCTCTTGCTTCACTGTCCACTATGTGATCTACAATTACTGTAGAGTCACAGCCCCTTTTGTCACAGCTTCATATTACTCAACAAGTGTACAGAGATCCCTGACGGACCTCCCCTTTATTTCACTCGCACTAAAAAAATTTTTTTTAAAAAAATCCATGTTTTCTGCCCGGACACCCTCAGACACCCCGCTGTTTGCTGCTCCTCTACCTACCGTAACTCTATTTCAGAGCACCTGCAACTAGACCCCACAACAGATGGTGACCCACCCCTGACACGCTCCCTCACGCAGATACACAATCATCGCTCACCCCCCCCACCCTTCAGATAGCGGAGCTCTTGGCAAAGCGAGCCCCGTGCGGCGCATGGGTGATGCCATTGTGCAGACGTGGAGGGCACACACAGGGCGCTTTGTTTTCCTCMGTGTGCGGAAGGTTAACACGTTGGATTCGGATCCGGTGTCCAACGGGACAATAAAAGTGTTGCGACGAGGGTTTGTCAATTAACGGAGATCTCCGAAGAGATGACACCAACACACTTGGAAGAACACAAACCTGCTGCATTATCTCGCGGGCAGCTTTAATATCCTTCCTTCAGCGGGACGTAAGCCCATTAGATCTGTGTTGTGTGTATGTGTGTGTCTGAGCAGCTCCAGCCAGTCAGGCAGTCACTGAGCAGAAAGAAAAGCCTTTGCCATATGTCTGTTAAACATAGGAGATGACCACTCTACGACATCAGCTCCCTCTAAACCAATTAGCCTCCTTTTGGAGCACAGAGCTTAACTACAGATGAGTGTGCAGCTGAAGAGGAAGCAACTTAAAGTTTGTTTAAAGTATAAGTGCTCATCTTTTAAAGTGGGATTCTTTCGAAAGGCTATGAGTAAATAAGTAGCCACCATTAGTCTCGGCTCAATGCTACCTTAGAGGAGACATATCACTTGGGATGGGTACCGAATTCGACACTTTTTAAAGTACAGACCGAATTCTGTCGGTACTACCGAGTATCTATTCGCGTAACATCAAATGGTACCATGTTTCGGTACCTAAACGCATCATTGTGACAAGAGCGGTGAGTTTTCTATGCTTGTCCTGAACGCAGCATCGTTCAGTAAACAGAGTTCAGTCTGAACGTAGCTTGAAAGCCTCGCAGCTCCTGGAGTAAAACTCGCCAAACAGACCACCTCTGAATTATCTGGTGGATTAATTATCTTGTGAGCACGACGTTCGCTTGCTCAAAGTAAATAAAGTACAGCCACTTTCTTTATTTCATCCACCATTAAACAGAGACCGGCAGAGGAAAACAACAGAGGGGCTTCCCGACAGTCCGAATACGTCTGACCTGAAAGAGCACAAGCAGCCAACTTGAAGTGTTGGGTGTGTTTGGATGCTCAAAACATAGCTTGAATACCTTTTATTTACTTTTAACTCCATCCTCTTTTGCTTATTTGATTTAAACTTATTTGCCTTCCATGGACCTCCATCACACATTTTTCTAGTGGGGAAATGACATCAATAGAAACACGTGGAGCTGGATTTTAATTTGTGCAATAAGACAAAACAGTCTTGTTGTTTTCAAGAGTTTTCACTTTAAAGACATARGTTACACAACTGATGTTACAATACAAAGAGCTGGATGTTGTCTTGATATTTGTTAATTTTATATATTGAGAAATATGTTAAATAAAAAAAATACAAGTTTATAATTGAAAAAACAACACACACAAAGTACCGAAAATTGGTACCGTTAAGTACCGGTACCAATTCCCAGGTACCGGATATGGGTATCGAATCGATTCAAACGTCAAAGGTACCCATCCCTACATTTAAATACTTCATGGGGTCTTTATAAAGTGGAACTGCAATGCTTTGGCCTGAATTTCTCCAAAAGCCCCGCCCCTTTTTGGAGGTGTGTCTCAGATCAACTCGTTTTGAGACTGTCTCTTTAGACCCAAACGAGGTGCTTCAAGCTCCGCCCCCCTCCAGCTTCCAGAGCAGTCCATTCCAGTTTGATAGAGGGGTTTACGACTATATAGCGGCACAGAAACTTTATTTACAAATGAATTAAAAGATGGCAACAAGAGAAGACTTGTCCATCCAGTCTTACATGTTGGAGCCAGAGTCTGACCCAGAGGCAGAGGAGAATGAAGACTACATCGCAAATACTGTGATGTAATAGTTCAGAAAACATCATAGAAAATAGAAAAAACGGGTTGAAAAATATGTGCAAAAAGTATAAATATATCCATGTAGCACAGAGAGAGACTAAAATCAAATTCTCTGCACTCCTGAAGACTCCAAGTACACAACAAAATGTATTTAATCGGTACAAAAGTGGATTTTGTGTGACATGTCCCCTTTAAGATACATTCTGAGAGCTTTATACAGCTTTTCCATAGAACCCCTGCAAAATGTCTGAACTATCTCTTTAACACATTGGACAGGAAGTGTGATACTTGACACTGTTGTTTGTGTATGATGGTAATGATATATGTTGAGTGTTAATATGAAACAAGTGGCCTTTGTTTTCCCCCTCCTAGCTGTTCATTTTTTATTGTCCATGGTCTTGTCCTCAATAAACAGGCAGGATGAGCCATTGGGCAGATGGTAAGGGGAAGTCCCAGGAGAGGACCCAGCATGCACACATACACAGATAAAGACACCGGCCTCCTGGTTCCGTAAATGCACACGCACTGTAAGTGTGCACAAAGACACCAGACCCCTGTTATGTAATCCAGCAGTTCCTCTCCCTCCTCGGACTGAGAGAGGCTCAGTTTTGGGCCGCCTCAGCAAGAAAAACAAAGTCATCAGTCTTCATATAAAGCTGTCTTTTCAATAGGACACATGCCACTGGATCAGTTTGGATCCTGCGCGTCACAATGAAGCCTCTCTGAAACGCCACAATGAGGCACATGACAAACCAGCGCGTTTCCTTTAGCGCTCGATTGAAAGTAAGGTACAACTTTATAATGCATGCAGCTTTTTTATCCTTACTTAACCATAAATAATTGGTTAGTTAACCTTAAAAACATCAATTAAGGATGATTCCAAAACCAACAAACTCATGAACTAAATATTCTATGTAATGTTTATAGTTCAGTCTGAAATCCACAGGCAAAAATAAACTTGTGGCTCTTCAGGGTTTCGTCTACATTAACAAATACGTAAAAAAGAAACATTTGATAAAGGCTAAAAAGACCTGACTAACTACTAGCCACTGCCTTAATTACTGATGCACTGCAGGGTTAGTATAGTCCAGGGGTCTGTAAGCTGCAGCACTGGCTCTTTGGWCCCTCTGCAGTGGTTTTTTAAAAATGTGACCAAACATAACATTTTTGTTTGTTTGTTTGTTTTTATACTCACAATTTGTATGCAAATGTGTCATCAAAAATGCAAAAAGTAAATCATGTTAGCTTGTAGTGTACTTACATAATCCAACTTCTTTCTATGGTCTTTCTCTCAAATCAATCAGAATTACCTTGAAGAATTTGAAGACTACATAATAATAAGCATTAGTAAAAAACATGCCTGAATATTTCTGTTGTACTCAGTATAAACTGTATAGTCTTTTTCTTGTTTACATGAATGTAGTATTTTCATTTGTCCTCATGTGTAAAAATAACAATAAATAATACAATTCACAAAATATATATATTTTGTTTTTTTTACTGTCTCCTCCACTGGCCATAAAGGGTCCTGAAAGGGCCTTGAAAAGGCCTACAGACCACCAGTTGATAATCAGTCATAGCTTGTTTTGCAGCTATGGAGACATTTTATTAGTGAGCCAAGTAGAAATAGCTCTTTTGATTGTAAAGGTTGCAGACCTCTGATAGTCAGTTCAAACTTTCTCTATTACTACACGTCTAACACATGGAGTGAAAGTACATTTATATGAGCATTATACTGTATATATAATAGTTATATCATGAGATATTAAGCATTAATAAACAATAAGTATATTGGATTTGGAAGT